ACATACCAACAGCCAAAGACGCTCCACATTTACATTCACAGAATAAACTGGGTTAGGAAAGAAATGGGGCTAAGGTAAAAAAAAATAAAAACCATGTTTACATGTGATGCTGGAACATGATTACTATAAAAACCCAGGAAAGGGAATACTCTGCAAACCTCCATGCTTCACTTCTTTTTTTAAACTAAAACTAGTATATTTGTGGGTTATTAATAATGTATGATGCATCAGCCATAAATCAGCCAATTTTTTTTCATCTCTCTTGTTTGTTTTTATATATCTTGGATGGATCGACAGCTTGGTGAGAGAAAAACTTTAATGTCATTCAAACATTAAAAAAAACAAAAACAAAAACTTTTGGTTTTGTTTTTATGGTTCAAATTTGAAATAACTGACTTTACCAATACATGACCAAGTGAGAGGGGAGGGCCTTCTGCAGTGATGTGCATCCATACCAGCCTATTGTGGGTCTAACTGTGGGTGGTGACCGCAAGAACAAGACCAGCAGAAAAAAGCTTCCTGTTGGGGAAGGAACTCAGTTATTTGGTGGCTGTACGAGCAACAGAAATATATGAATAGCCATATTCATAATCAACAGCTGAGTAATTGATCAAAAAAATCATTTCATTGGCTGTAGCTCAGGTGGCAGAGCAGGTCAGCCACTAATCAGAAGGTCGGTGGTTCGATCCCAGGCTGCATGCCAAATATCCTTGGGCAAGATACTAACCCCATGTTTGCCTACTGGTGGTGGTCAGAGGGCCCGGTGGCGCCAGTGTCCGACAGCCTCGCCTCTGTCAGTGCGCCCCAGGTCAGCTGTGGCTACAACGTAGCTTGCCATTGCCAATGTGTGAATGTAGTGTAAAGCGCTTTGGGGTCCTTAGGGACTGAGTAAAGCACTATACAAATGCAGGCCATTTTTACCATTTCACAGGAAGTAGAACTAACTTTTTCGTTTTTTTTCCAATGTCAGTTTTATTAGTAGCAGGGACAGCCTAGGGGGATCCGCATGAGTTAATAGCACAAAATATTGAATTTTCTCTAATTATGGGTCTCCCATCTATCTTCAGAGGGCGACTGAACCGAAAAAAGTCAAAATTAGAAAACAGCTTCAGAATTTCAGCTTCGTTGGAGAAGATAAATTAGATCAGTTAGAGATCTAACAAAACAAAGTCAGAAATATTTCTCATTGAAGGACCTGTAACAGCTGTAACCGTGGTTACCCCAATCTTACCACAAAAAAGTCAAGCTCTGGTTTTACATAAAACAATTCTCAAACTTTAGCAGTGACTTGATCCCTCTAGTTAACAGTAAACAGTATTCCCGCTGAGGCTAAGCTATCTGTCCAGGAAATCTTTTCATATTTGCTGAGTGTAAGCAGAGTCCTGCTGCTTGTGTACGGTAGCAGCCTTAGAGCGCTGCTCTTTGCTGTCCTTCTTCTGTTAACCAAGCAGCTGCGGCTATTTACAATGCTGCAGTGTGTTCAGTGTGACTCCCACAATTAAAGGCATGTAGGAAGCCACTTTTTGTGCGATGTAGGTCTTTGGGATTGTGTGGTCGCTAATAAAGCAGTATCTTCACATCATAGTTTTCCTTATTTCTCTCTGTGGTGCCACCTCGTCTCCTGTGTCCTTTAAGCCTCAATTCCTAAAACCCTTGTAAAAGAAAGAAGATTGATGACAGAGGAGGCTTGATGAGGAGTTATAATCAAGCAGATACTAGCGACTCCTGGACCTACAAGAAGAGCTAGGGCACACTGCCAATTTACAAACCAGGCCTGAGCAAAAGTCTACAAATAATCCTTCCTTAGCATTAACAGGTTTTGTTAGTAATTTAAGTTGATCATCTGTGTGATTAAACTTTTTGGTCTTCACTATTTGTGTCTGATGGCATCTCAGATCATAAAATAAAGCAACAGGCTGTAACATAACAATGACCAGACAATGCAACCGTGTCACATATTTAAATGACTTCCTAACAAAATGAAGGCTGCAAAGCAAGGATGTTTCATTTTACCAAATACCCGTCATCTGCACTGCTGGAACATCGCTTCTTCTGAATAGATCCACTTGCCTTGACTTCATTATAATATAATTCAGCACCTAATTATAATGATCACAGTGTATGGATGTGAATTGTGTGGATTTGACTGTGAAGTGCAGACCCATCTACATACCTCGCGAGTTTACTGTTGTCATGGTAACGGCCGTGTATGTACCACCCGATGCTAATGCTAACTCGGCCATGGAGGAGCTGCACAAGACAATAAGCAACCAGCAGAACTCCCATCCAAACGCAGTGCACATTATAGCTGGGGACTTCAACCATGCTGATTTAAGGTCAGTATTCCCCAGATTTGAACAGCATATTAAATGTGCAACGAGGGGGAAAAACACATTGGATAAAGCCTACAGCAACATCCAAAAAGGCTACAGAGCAACCCCTCTACCACATCTAGGTTTGTCAGACCACATGTCCATGCTGCTGATCCCTGCATACACTCCCATTAGGAGAAGAGCCCCCCCAGTCACAAAAACTGTGAAAACCTGGCCAGAAGGTGCATCACATCAGCTGGAGCGTGTTCGAACATCAGGACCTTGAAGAGCACACAACATCAGTGCTCTCCTATATTAACTTCTGTGTCAACAGTGTCACTGTGGACAAACGTCTCCGGGTGTATTCCAACCAGAAACCCTGGATGACTAAAGAGGTCCAGGTCCTGCTGAAGCAACGTGACGCCACTTTTAGATCCGGTGATAGTATGCAGTACAGTGCAGCCAGATCTGAGTTGAAAAGAGGCATCAGAGAGGCCAAGGCAGCGTACAAGAGAAGGATCGAAGACCACTTCAGCACCAACAACTCACGACAGGTATGGTAGGGAGTTCAGCACTTAACCAACTACAAACCTTGCAATACCACGTTGACTGAGCTTGCGGAGGAGCTGAACCACTTCTTCGCACGCTTTGAGGTGAAGGGACCAGAGGCAGCAGCAGCAAAAACATCGGACAGCAGCAGCAGCCCAAGCCTCATAGTGCAGGAAAATGAGGTGAGGCGCACACTGAGGGCAGTGAACCCCAGGAAGGCCGCCGGACCAGATGGGGTAACCACAAAGGTCCTAAAAGAGTGTGCAAACCAGCTGGCTGGGGTCTTCACTAAGATCTTCAACACTTCACTGTCCCAGTCCTGCATCCCGCCGTGCCTAAAGTCAGCCACAATTGTCCCACTGCCAAAGCGTACTAACATTAGCAGCCTCAACGACTACCGACCAGTTGCTCTAACACCTGTTATAATGAAGTGCTTTGAGAAACTGGTCCGACGTCACATCATGTCCTGCTTGCCACCCACACTCGACCCGCTCCAGTTCGCATACAGAGCTAAGAGATCAACTGAAGATGCCATCGCTACAACGCTCCACACCACCATCTCTCACCTGGAAGTGCAGGGCCGTTACGCCAGGCTGCTCTTTGTTGACTTTAGCTCTGCTTTCAATACGATACTCCTGGACAGACTAATAGTTAAACTGCTGGAAATCGGACTTCCTTCTACCACCTGCCGCTGGATCAGAGACTTCCTCTCAGACCGTGTACAGAGAGTTAGAGTGGGGCCTCATCTTTCCTCAGCCCTCAGCCTCAACACCGGCTCTCCACAAGGCTGTGTACTGAGTCCCCTACTGTACACTCTGTACACACATGACTGTGTTAGTTCCCACCCAGACAACAAAGTCATCAAGTTTGCAGATGATACCACCGTGGTGGGGCTCATCTCTGGGGGAGATGAGACTGCGTACAGAGCTGAAGTTCAGAGGCTGTCAGATTGGTGTGTAGATAACAACCTGGACCTCAATACCACCAAGACAAAAGAACTGGTAGTTGACTTCAGAAGGAGGAAGTCCGAGCTGCAGCCTGTCAGCATCAACGGGGAGTGCGTGGAAAGGGTCTCCAGTTTCAAGTTTCTGGGTGTGCACATAGACACAGACCTCCAATGGAGCTCTAACACCTCTGCGGTCTTAAAGAAGGCCCAACAGCGTCTCCACTTTCTGAGAATCCTCAGAAAAATGGACCTGAAGAAGGAGCTGCTGACCGTCTTCTACCGCTGCTCCATTGAAAGTGTGCTGACATATTGCATCGGTCTGTGGTTCTCCAGCTGCACCACAGCACACAGAAAGGCACTCCAGAGGGTCATCAATATGGCCCAAAAAATCATTGGACATCCTCTTCCCTCCCTGAAGGACCTGTACAGCACTCGCTGTCTCAAGAGGGCATCCTACGGGACTGCACACACCCAGGACACCAGGTGTTTAAGCTGCTGCCGTCTGGCAGGAGGTTCAGGCTGCTGAGGTCCCGAACAAATACACTCAAGGACAGCTTTTACAACAGGGCAATAGCCCTGATCAATGTAAATAGCTGACCTGACTGGCTACCTACCTGGACTTTTTTAGGGGGGAGGTAACAATGTTTAAAACAATAACAATAATAATATTTATATTTATAACAAGGTGCAATAATAATTAGTGTGCAATACACATACACTTATTCTTCTTTTTTTATACTAAGTTAATATACTGTGTTGTGTTGTTTGTGTTGCGTTGTGATGTGTCATATCGTGTCGTGTTGTGTTATATGTAGTGCCGACGTAGGACAGTTTTCCAATTTCATTGTACTACTGTACCATGTATGACTGTGCAATGACAATAAAGAGTTATCTCTTATCTTATGTATAGATGTCTGTATGTACCCTATTTTCTGCGTAATGAGTGGGGCAATCTAAGATAAGATAAGATAAGATAGAACTTTATTAATCCCTCGGGTGGGTTCCTCTGGGAAATTCGATTTCCAAAAAAGCACAGCACCGACAGAAGTTACAAAGTTACAGAATATTATATATATATACACACACACACACACACACACACACATATATATAAATACAGAGACAATATAAATGTCACGGGCTGCGACGGCAGACCGTGGAGTTGTAGAGAAAGTAGGGCCCAAACGCGAGACTCAAGTGAAGGACAGTGGATTTATTTATGGCGAGTGGACAGAAACGACAACTATATACAATTCAAGCACTGTGACTCCTGTGGCGATTCCTCCAAGAATCCCACACAGTGCACGTGTCCATAGCAGTGAAAAGGTGACAACTCCAAAAACCCGATTCCACTCTGTGATTTCCCCTCGTGACGACGTTCCTGACTCCCGACTCCTGGTGACACAAAAACACACACAGCTCAGCAGGCAGCCTTTAGTAGCGAAGCCGATCACAACACACTAATCTACGGAGGTACTTAACAGGTTCGACTTAGTATAATCCCGCACCGACTGGGGCTCCGCCACCTTCTTAAATAAGGCGCCCCTCATGAAGCCATCAGCTGCAGCTGGTGAGGACTAATGGGTGGCAGGTGCGGCAGTCCCCAGTGCGGGAACACTTCCGGGTCGCAGTCCCCTCAGCGACCCCAAAACATCCGGGAGCACCCAGGGAGAAAGGACAAAAAGGGAGAGAAAACCACCATAACATATGGAAAAACATATACAAGAAATACATGAGCTCTGGGTCATCAGACCCAGACCATGACAATAAATAAAATATACGAAGGGGATAAATAGAATAAATAGGAATAAAAAATAAAAATACAAGTGAATTTCACATTTCAAGTATTGTCTATTGCACTGTTGACTATTTACAAAAGTATTGCACAAAAGGTATTGCACAGTGAGGTGAAGAGGCACTACAGCTTAGTTGTTCCCCCCTCCTTTGTCCTCCTGTTTCCCCTCCCTCTCCCCTCCCGAGAGGAGTTAAACAGTTTGATGGCGTGTGGGACAAAGGAGTTTTTAAGTCTGTTAGTTCTTGTCTTGGGGAGAAGCAACCTGTCACTGAACAGACTCTTCTGATTGTTTATGGCCGTGTGCAGAGGATGCCCAGCATTGTTCATAATGTCCATCAGTTTCTTTAATGTCCTCTTCTCTGCCACTGTCACCAGAGTGTCCAGCTTCATGCCGACCACAGAGCTAGCCTTCCTGATCAGTTTCTCCAGCCTGGATGAGTCCCTCTTTGCTGTGCTGCTCCCCCAGCACACCACAGCATAGAAAAGGACTCCTGCGACCACTGACTGGTAAAACATCCTCAGGAGCTTCCTGCAGATGTTAAAAGACCTCAGCCTCCTGAGGAAGTACAGTCGGCTTTGGGCTTTTTTATACAGGTGCTCTGTGTTGCATGACCAGTCCAGTTTATTGTCCACCCACAGCCCGAGGTACTTGTACTTGTTGACCACCTCCACCTCCTCCCCCTCTATCTGAACCGGCAGTGGACCTGCTCTAGACCTCCCGAAGTCCACAACCAGTTCCTTAGTCTTTGAGGTGTTGAGTTGCAGGTGGTTTGTGTGACTCCATGCGACAAAGTTCCTCACCAGACTTCTGTACTCCTCTTCCTGATCATCCCAGATACACCCCATGATGGCTGTGTCGTCTGCAAACTTCTGAATATGGCATAATTCAGAGTTGTAGCAGAAGTCAGAGGTGTACAGGGTGAAGAGAAGAGGGGACAGCACAGTTCCCTGTGGTGCTCCTGTGCTGCTGACCACAGTGTCAGACGTGATGTCCTTCAGCCTGACGTACTGTGGTCTTTCGGTGAGGTAGTTGGAGATCCAAGCCACCAGGCAGGGGTCCACCTCCATCCTGTTCAGTTTTTCCTGAAGCATACAGGGCCGGATGGTATTAAAGGCACTGGAAAAGTCAAGAAACAGGATCCTGACCGTGCCTTTTCCCCCATCCAGGTGTGAGTGGGCTCTGTGTAGGAGGTACAGGATGGCATCCTCCACTCCGACACCTGCCTTGTATGCAAACTGTAGTGGGTCCTGGGCATGTTGTACCTGTGGTCGGAGGAGGTTGAGGAAGAGCCGCTCTAGAGTCTTCATAAGATGTGACGTCAGTGCCACCGGTCGGAAGTCATTCAGCTCATTGGGCCGGTTCTTTTTGGGGACCGGGACGATGCAGGATGTCTTCCATAGGGCGGGCACTCTCCCCAGTCGCAGACTGAGGTTGAAGACTCGTTGTAGCGGCTCCCCAAGTTCAGCAGCACACGCCTTAAGCATCCTAGGACACACCTTGTCTGGGCCTGCTGCCTTTCTGGGGCGAAGCTTCCTCAGTTGTCTGAACGAAACTTTGCATCATGCATACCGCACTTATTCACAGCCATATCTTTTTGAAAAAGACCTGTCTATTTCATCTTTTCCCTCCAAATGGGACATTATGTTCTACATTTGTGCTTGTTTCACGTGTCATGTTCATCGTACATAATCGTACGTAATCGCTTTGTCTCCAAATTTTGGATCTGGGACGAAACTTAGTCTGACTCACCACTAAATACAACATTAAGAATGGGAAAGAGTGCTGAAAGGCTGGCAGAACCTCAAATAAAAATATTTATAGTCAAAACACCACCCTGCGTCAGATTGACAACCTGTCCAGGTTTCCGCCAGGATCCCACCCAGTGGTAGCTGGGACAGGCTCCCCCTGCGACCCTGATAAGGATATATGGAAGAGAATGAATGGACAGACAAATACTTACCAAAATAATCTTCTCAAGTGATTGGTTTAAAAGGAGCATCATATCAGATTTTTACAGTTTGTACTCAACCAGACATTTCCCATCATAAGCCAAATACATGGAAAGAAGATTTGGAAACTGAGATCCCATTAGAGGATTGGAGCCAGCAGATCTGGAGTTCAAACTACTGTATACCCTCCTCAGTTTAACAGACTTTTGTTGGTTAATCTGAACATATATAACTCCTGCCAAGGTAAACTGTTTTAATAAAAAAAATACCAGAGGCTACAAAAACACTTTCACTGAGTCTGGCAGAACCATAAAAATATTTGAGTAAGAGCTCAGAGAGATGCTCACACGAAAAAATTAACAAAAAACAAAATAAAAAAAGAACTTGTCTTCTAAATTTCAAAACACACAGGTTTCTCTTCTTGTGAATTCTTTTTTTAAAGTATGTTAGTTGCCATGGTTTGAGCTAGAGCAGAGACGTGAAAGTCATTTTACATCATCGTCCACAAGCAGCCCACTTTGAACTTAAGTGGCTCGGACCAGAACACTGAAACTGCTCTAAATTCTCTAAACCAGCGGTCCCCAACCGTTTTTGCAGCACAGATGCAGATAAATACAACAAAATAAAACCAGTACCGGTATCAAAAAAAGAAAATGTATTCATAATACACAGGAAAAGACCCAGGGAAACGAGTTAACGATAAAAAAGATTTTTTTTTAAATTATAAAAACCCTGAAAAAAACATAAATTTCACACTCGAGCCTTAACTCTCGTGGCCCGCTACCAAACGACTGACAGACTGGTACCGGTCTGTGGCCCAGGGGTTGGGAACCGCTCCTCTAAACTCTTTTAATAGTAGATAGTGGACAAACAGGGACTGTTTTTACGTTTATTTTTTGTCTAATTGCTTTGGTGTTTAAACGAATGTGTGTGAATGTATGGGCGACCGTGGCTAAGGGGGTTGGGAAGCGTATCTGTAACCGGAAGGTCACCGGTTTGATCCCTAGGCTCTCTGTCCTGGTCGTTGTGTCCTTGGGCAAGACACTTTACCCTACCGCCTAGTGTTGGCCAGAGGGGCCGATGGCGCGATATGGCAGCCTCGCTTCTGCCAGTCTGCCCCAGGGCAGCTGTGGCTACAACCGTAGCTGCCTCCACCAGTGTGTGAATGTGAGAGTGAATGAATAGTGGCATTGTAAAGCGCTTTGGGTGCCTTGAAAAGCGCTATATAAATCCAATCCATTATTATGTATGAATGGCCGTCCAGTGGGCCGGACTGGAGTCTTTGCTGGACACATTCTGGCCCCTGGGACATATGTTTGACAATCCTGAGCTATAAAAACATTTTTTAATGTTTTTTTTTGTTGAAGAAATAAAATATTGTTGAGCACTAGGTTACACAATGATTAATTGTCAGTTTTGTTGATTATTTGTTATTTGCATTAACTGTTTGTTTTTGCAGTATCTCCTTTACTTTAATGAACATTGCTTCAGTGCTTTCTGTGCAGAAGGATGTGATACAGGAAGCACTGAAGCACCTTTCCGTAGTGTTTAGAGGATTTGAATGTCTTATTATGGCTGCCAGATATTTCAAGGTAACTTCACTCAGTTAAAGACTTTCTTAACAAAATGGACTTTTCAACCGTGGTTTCCTCCTCCTCTGTGTATGTGTGTGTCTCATTGTCTATCTGACTACAGCAGTGGTGTCAGATCTTGGGCTTAGCCTGCCAACTGCACCACATTTCAATAACAACACTCTCTGCAAACACACAGTTCTGCCCCAACCATGCCGCTGTAATCTACACTCCACAAAAGCTCACTGCTGCAATGTTTCTAGCATTTTAGTATTTCTGTGCAGCTTTGGGTAACTCTGCTCATTCCTTACCCACCAGTAGACGTCTTCTCCAACTCCTGTGCAGCTTTGTTGGCGCTGCTTCTGATCCTCAGTCCTCTGCAACCTGTCAGCTAAACCTGCATACCTCTGTCAAGCCAGCATACTCAACAGCCTCTAAACTCTGCTTATCTCTCTCAGAGACAAGCAGGTTTCCTCGCCAGCTGTACAGACTTTGTTCAACTTTTCATCTGCCTCTGAGTGTTTCTCTGTGCTTGGGATCACTGCTGTGTAACACCCTGTCCAAATAAAGTATTGCAGCCATATTATTATTTTGTCCTCTTCTTGCATGTCTGATTCTACAGATCCCATATATATAGGTTTTTATATATATATATATATATATATATATATATATATATATATATATATACTGTATGTATATATATATATATATATATATATAACAAACACCCAGCACGCCCCTGCGGGCGGTTTATCCTTCAAGCTCGGGTCCTCTACCAGAGGCCTGGGAGCTTGAGGGTCCTGCGCAGTATCTTAGCTGTTCCCAGGACTGCGCTCTTCTGGACAGAGATCTCCGATGTTATTCCCGGGATCTGCTGGAGCCACTCGCCTAGCTTGGGAGTCACCGCACCTAGTGCTCCGATTACCACGGGGACCACCGTTACCTTCACCCTCCACATCCTCTCGAGCTCTTCTCTGAGCCCTTGGTATTTCTCCAGCTTCTCGTGTTCCTTCTCCGTCATGATATTGCTGTCATTCGGAACCGCTACATCGATCACTACGGCCGTCTTCTTCTGTTTGTCTACCACCACTATGTCCGGTTGGTTAGCCCCCACCATTTTGTCCGTCTGTATCTGGAAGTCCCACAGGATCTTAGCTCGGTCATTCTCCACCACCCTTGGGGGCATCTCCCATTTTGACCTCGGGACTTCTAGGTTATACTCGGCACAGATGTTCCTGTACACTATGC